TTAGTTTTGATTTGAATTTTTCTAATTGCTAGAGATGATGAACATTTTTTCATGTATTTGTTGATTGCCTGTATATTCTCTTCTGAGAAGTGTCTGTTCAGGTCCTTGGCCCATTTATTGACTGGGTTATTTGGGGTTTTTTGGTGCTTAGCTTTTTGAGTTCTTTATATACCCTAGAGATTAGTGCTCTGTCTGATGTGTGAGGGGTAAATGATTCTCACTTATCTGGTAATTACTTTTGACTGTGAATTGCTAAATTTTCCTTAAAACTTTAACTCTGGATACTCTTTAATTTTGGAATGAAAGTGCAAAGATCGACATTCACTTCTGCCAGGCACTTGAAAGCAATGTCACCATGGAGCAACTTTAAACTAAACTTTCAGTTGAATTTTTTTTTTTGTCTATCCAACAAGAATGCATTTGAGCTGCAAACACATGTGACAAACTTATTATGAATCCTCAAAAGAATTTTTTCTCCCAGTTCACTCAGCAATGATAAGTAATTTTCTTTATGGTATTTGCAAGAAGAAATAGAGAAGATTTTAGATGGTTTTATCTGTAGGACATCCTAATAATGGGGCTTTAAAAGGGATATAAATTCTGACATATTGATTTGGCCCTGGGCTTAACCCTCTGAACTCCATATCCTGAAACTTATGCTTTCTACTTCAATATATACTCCTACAATAAAAACTACATTCAATTCCTGTTATGGTCTAGATGTGAGGTGTCACCCAAAAGCTCAGTGTGAGATAATACAAGGAGGCTTAGAGGTGAAATAATTGAATTATGAGAGCTTTAACTCAATCAGTGAATTAATTCCCTGATGGGGATTAACTGAGTGGTAACTGAAGGCAGGTAGGGTATAGCTAGCAAAGGTAGGAATTGGGGGCATACCTTTGGGGTACATATTTTATATCTGATGAGTGGACTCTCTCTCTGCTTCCTGATCATCATGTGAGCTGTTCCCCTCTACCACACTCTTTCACCATGATGTTTTGCCTCACCATGTGCCCTGAGGAATGGAGCTGGCTGTCTATGGACTGCGACCTCTGAAACTATGAACTCCCAAATAAACTTTTCCTACAATAAAATTGTTTTTGTCAGGTCTTTAATCACAGCAGTATAAAAGCTGACTAAAACAGTCCCTCACCAAACCTATCTGAGTTTCTGCTTTCCTTTAGGTTTTCTTATTTCACTCATCTGTTTTGTAGTCAGATGTATTGAGATACAAATTACATACAATAAAATTCACTCTCTTTCATATGCAGTTTCTTATGAGCTTCCACAAACTAGTCACATTAACTATTACCACAACCAACATATAGAAGAGTTCTACGTTCACTTAGTTTTTGGCCTGATTATACTATTCTGTCAGGTCCTCTGTGCTTTTAAAAAGAAGTTTTAAAAAAACTTAAATGTCTATCCAACATCTTTAGGTGTGACAATTAATCAACATACACAGTTTCCCATATGATCAGGAACTAATTATTACACCCTGACATTATACATATTCTGATAGACCCAACCTGATCTTTTATTAAAATTGGAAGCCATCTTGCCACAAAGCCATGAAAAGCTAATTTCGGCTTTACTATAAATTATTGCAAATTCTGAACCTGCTTGGAATGCCTGCCCGTGCCTTGAACTCACCCATGCCTGGCTCTCTGACCAGATAGCAGCCCTCTCCGAAACTTAGTGACACCTCATAAATATTGGCCTTCCCTGGCCAGACAACGACCCTCTCCGAGGCTCTAATGATCCTCATAAATTCTGATGTTGGGGCCAGCAAAAAAAAAAAATTGTAAACTACCATTAGTGTGATGCTTGTCAGAGTTCTGTTATCTGTAACCCCCCTTTTGTGTAACTTGCTGGGCTATAAAGCTGGGCTGTAGGAAAGGTGGGGCGGCTGTTTTGTTCCCGCTGTTTTGGGAGGGAAAGGCAGCCCGGCCGGTCGAAATAATAAGCTTGCTTTAATTTGATTTTAATTGGAGTCAGTGGTCTTTTCTTGCGTCCTGGTCTAACAATTCATTTTTATCTTTTACTATATTGTTCATTTTCTTCCCTAGTAGAAGGCAAACTCATGGGAGAAGGGATTTAATTTTGTTCAGTGCTGTATCCTTGGCACCTAAACCAATTACTACAAAAGGTAAATGTTCAATAGATATTTGTAGTTGAATGAATAGTGACACATGCTCTGAAGAAATTAAAGCAGGTTAAGGGGATAAAAAGTACCAACAAAGCTAATAAATAATTTTAACATACTTACCATACTTGATTGGGGTTGTAATACCAGTCTTGCTTGTTTCTTTCTTTGTTTTCGGTAGTAATTTTCAAATGTTTCTTCATCACCCTAAATAATAAAGTCAGTAGAATAAGAAAAATTCAAGCTTGCATGCATGCACATACACATACATTTACTGCTAAGAGTAATTAACCCACTAAGAGTCATTTTAAACTTTCTAACTGGAAAATAAATGCTGAATGGATTTCATACTGAATGTCAAGAAAGGGTTTTTGTCATTTTAGTTCAAAGACAGCAACTTTATTTGGCATCTTAAATATTACGATGAATAAAGTGCAAACATTTGACACTTTCCCAACTTATCACTTAAGCTTTATATATTTTTGAATGCCAAGACAATCTGGAAGTTAATAAGAGAAACTAGAGATTAGCTGTCAAGCTGGTTGTGTTAGGTGACATTTGAATCCCAGCTACTCGTGAGGCTGATGCCAGAGGCCAGCCTGAGCAACTTAGTGAGCTCCTGTCTCAAAATAAAATCTAAAAAGACTGGAGGTGTAACTTAGTTGTAGAGAATTTGCCTAGCATGTTCAAGGGCAAAAATGGAATTCCCTAATGCAACCAGAAAAAAAAAAGAAGAAGGAAGGAAGGAAATAAAGAGTTATTAACCATCAAGCCTAAACTTCTGAATATGTTATATAAGGTCCTACATGATCTGGTTTCTTCCTCAATCTCCTGTCTCATCTCTTGCCACACCTTAACTCTTAGAATATCTGATACAAAACTTCTTTTCACTGCCAGGCTTTTGTGCTGGCTATTTCTGAAATATACTTGAAATATACTATACAATTTTTACACATCTTTTCAGGATTTGCCATTAATGATACTTCATTTAAAAAGCTTTCCTTAATTTCCACAGGCTTGTTATTTTCTGTTATACCACAACAATCTGTACTTCCCTATCACAGCATTTATACTGTGCTATAATTCCCCAATTATTAGTCTATCTCAGTGCTACCCAATGAAACTTTCTATGATGGTAGAAGTATTCTATGTTTGTACTATCTACTATGGTAGCCACTAGTGACATGTGGCAACAGAGTATTTGAAGCAGCTAATAGGACTGACACACTTCAATTTTGCTTAATTTTAACTAATTTCAACTTAAATGGCTACATTTAACTAGTGGCTACCACAGTGAACAACAGAAATCTAACTTTTCCTTTTTTGGGGGGAGGGGGTACTAGGGATTGAATCCAGGGGTACTTAACCACTGAGCCACATCCCCAAACCTTTTATTATATTTTATTTAGACATGGTCTTGCTGAGTTGCTTAGGGCCTCCTAAGTTGCTAAGGCTGGCTTTGAACTTGGGATACTTCTGTCTCAGCTTCCCAAGCCTCTGGGATTATAGGATGAGCCACCACACCCAGCTAACTTTTCCATTCTTGGTCTGTTAACAAATTGTCCATATTCATCTAGATCACCAGTATAAGCTCATCATTTAGAAGAATGCTTGGCTTGTAGAAGGCACTCAAAAATATTTGTTGAATGAATAATTAAACAAATAAATGAATGGCTATATATTCTGTTTCAAAGAAGAATTCATTCAGAGCCAGAAGA